ACGAAGGGCCATAAGCACAAACGGTTTTAGAGTTTTCTTAGTCTCATCAAGATCTACTTATGGCCAAAAGACGGAGTCAAAAGCGAGGAATCAGTTGGGGAAGTTCCCTCGTAAGTATTACCATAGATTGTTTAAAAACGAGAAAGAAAATTAATCAAATTACAAAAAAACGTTTATTTATCTGAGTCGATTTGATCGTCGACTTTGTTGCTGTTGGTCATATGTTGTTGTTTCTTTTTCTTTTAACATTTGCGCATGTAATATTGCCTGACACTCCCATCGTTTAAGATCAATCGGATCACTATGAGTCGGAATTGTTCCAAGTTGAAGATGATCGAACCAATGATGATGTTTGAAAAAAATTTGTGGATGTTTACTAAAATATTTAAAGCAAAGGTCAGGGATAAGCGATATTTACTCGCTAAAATGAGACACTTACAGTAAAAACTCATAAAACCATTCGACTTGAACACAGGGCATACGATAACCAAAATTTTCACTAAAAGTTAAAAAATCATATAATCATTGTAATTGATTATTCTCTAATACATACCTTATGATTTCCACTGCTTGCTCACAGGCCAATGTTTGTGCATCATCCAAAGTTAACAACTCACCATCCGAGTGATTGATCAAATCATCTGCTATCTTCTTCTCTTCATATTTTGTTAAAATTGGCAGACCTGCGTGTAATGAAGTCATTCGAACTTCAGACAGATCTGAGATTTTATCTGTTAAGACATGTTGTGATGATGATAAGTCAATATCATTTGGCATCTAAGAAACAGAAATGAAACATAACTGCCAGTTAGTTTTTTATCTGAATTTGTTCCTCTCTTACTGTATACTGCACTTTTTTGGCTGTTTTTGATGTTGCCATGCATTGATCATCACCTTTTTTGGCATTCAACTTTCGTTTGCTAATCCGGGTAGTAGTAGTCGGTGATGTCATTGAATGATTTGTGTTACTTCTTTTTGATTCACCTCCTGCTGATAAGCGACCATTTGAAATTTTCTTTGCCATAACTTTTCCCACATTATCGGATGTTGGTGAATGTTTATTAGGACTCGGTTTTTTCGTTGCTGATTTTTTGGCAGATAAAGATGATGTACGTGAAGAAACTGAGGATCGTTGCTTTATAGCTGCCGATTTCTAAATAAATTCTTTGCATAAATACAAGATATTAGAAACTAAGGTAAAGTTACCTTATTCGTTGTATCGTCATCTGTTTGTTCAGATTTAATAAAATTTGAAGAATCAGCTAAAACAGAAATGAGGTCGAAATTTATTGAAACTTCGAATAATGCCGCTAATTCGAGCAGGCTGGTGCTAATGAACAACCACATGTTTTTCATTGTATTGGTGGTATTAATTATTTTTACAAAGAGAGACAGAGAGGAAAAGCATTAAACTATCATTGCCACAACTAATTCTGATATTCTGTGAATTTAAAATCAAAAACATTTAGAATATTAATCACTGAAAGATCGTATTAGAACTAAGGATCAGTCCATGGACACTTTTATTCATGGTTCTAAGTGCAAACTTATAATGTTTTACTTACGTGAAACATTGGCTTTCGCCAGAATATTTTTCAATAAATCAGCGAATTCTTCCATTCGTTTTTCTTTTGGCAAACTCAGTGCACGATTAGCATCGGCGATTGCTATAATAGAAAGAATTTTCGATGAGTAAATACTCGCAATCCCCATCGACTAATTCAAATAGTTACCTCCATCCCATCGTGGACGATTTTGAACACTGACTTTCAACTGATAACGGTTGGCTAATTTTTCTTGTTCTAGTCTAGATGTTGCCTAGAAATAAATAGGATACGTTTAAATAAAAGACAAATCAGCGTAATTTTATTGAAAAAAAAATCCTATTTACTTGTTGAACGGCTGTTTCTGCATTGCGAATAAAATCATCCAGACCGGAATACTTCAATAATGATGCTGTAAACACCCAACTATATTCAAAATAAGGACCGTAAAAATATACAAAATATTGTCGTTTTGAACCGCGAGATCTCCCAGCTGAAGAAAAAAATGATACAAAATTCGCTTTCTGATTTTTTTCCCGAAACTTACCTACTAATTTTGTATGGGGGGTGCCATTTTCTGAAAAACAGCCAAATATCAAAGCAGGCCACCTTTTTAAACAAAAATAAACGATTGAAAATATGAAATAATTAAAAAGAAGACTTCTTTATTTACCACGGATATCCTTGCAGTTTCGTCCATACGATCTCGCCATTCTCAAATGGGTTGGGAGGCTCTCGTCCACCATTCACTTGAATTTTAATTGTTTCAGATTTCTTTTTTGATGATTTTTGTTGTCGTTCATGGTGAAATGGGTAATCAATGCTTTTTTTTATTCGACGTGGTCGTTTTGTATTACCATTTATTTCTTAATTCAACACAAGCTTCAGTAAATAAAACAGGAAAATTAACATCAAGTTACCCTCGGTAGATAATGTTGAATCGTTGGTCATTCTCCAAAGATACGAAAACAGAAAGAAATAACACAAATCTGAAACAGAAACATCGAAGCAATTATCCACTTTAAATTCCTAAAATAAATTGTATTTTTTTTAGCTCAATACGTAATCTTTCAAAATTCAAGAGCATTTCTAGATTGTACAATTAGCTACAACAAACCGAAAAGTCGAGAAAGAAATGATTTTTATATGAAGACACAATAGTTAATTTTTGAGCCTTGCGAATATAAAGTCCATCTATTAGTACTTTCATGAACGAAAACCTTTTCGAATTTAACATGAACCGTTCAAAATAGTGACGGTGACAAATTTAAATGTAGCCTGGCATGTTATAGTATGGCATCCGTGACTCTAAACTTTGTTCAATTAAATATCTGGTTCTAAAGAGTCATTCTAAATCTCACATTAAGTTTTAACATATTACATTTTTTCAATGAGAAATAGGAGAAAAAGCATAACTGATAGAATTCTTTTCATTCAGTTTCACATGTTTTCAGTTCTAGGATAGCCTAACCAAGTTTAACGAATGTTAAAATTGATTCATTATTTCCATTATTGATCATTTAGAATAACCGTTTTTCTCTTCATATTCATTCATTCTTCAAAAATAGCCACTTAATGAATGACCATTTGGCCTCTATGCAAAAAAAACGCTACTGTCGGTTACCATGAACGCACGACATCTATCAAGTATGAAACAATGAAAGAATACTTTTCTATATTTTCTGCTTTTCTGAAAGCGATGTTATATATGAGCGTTCAATCTTGCAAAAATGGCTCTCTTACATAATAATTAACCGGCTTTTTCACCATGAACAACATAAAAGGATAACGGGTCTGGTCATTGTAGTTATTTATTATTATTATTGGTTCCATTTAATGGTATATTTCGATTGAATCAATAGATTATAACGACAGTATCGAATTTTAGCATTAGGCAGACTATCGCTAATGTATCCAAGGGGTAATCAAAATTTTTTCCAATGTTATGTTGATTAATATTTTTCTATTTTGATACTGGTATCGCATTTTTGTTTTTATTTCTAATTATTTGTAAATTTAATGCATCGGTTCGATTCAAAAAATTCATCGACAATTTCAACTACATTAAAGTTATTAACGATTTTCTCTATGCTCATGTTTATACAACTAAATCGCTTAATCTCTTATCATCCGTTTGATTCTGTGGATAATTTCTAATAGATTAAAGAGAAATATTTAAGGGAATAGACAAGGTCAGTAATTGGTCTTGCTGTAGGTACGCTGGTACATTGAATAAATGAATGAATGAATTTATTCACATAAAGTGAGGGATCACCAAGAGTCTCTGACCTTTAACACGTTGACCCCCCTCAAACAAATAACGAAGCAGATAAAAATAACCTAGATACTAGCTAAAAAAGAAAGAAAAAAGAAAAATTATATAAAAACTAGATGCCAACTGCGCACTACGAAGATCGGAAGCCGTCTGAGCGAAACATTTCTGGAACCGGTTAGCTTCTAGTTATGACATAAGCTACGTAGATAATTAATTTAAACTGGAAATATCTCTGTGAAAGAATCTAATGTTTTCTTCTTTAGCAACAAAAAAATATGTTTCGAATTTTACTCATCTACATTTATCTTCTACAGCATATTATTCACATTATCGTATCAGCTCATTCATTCTCCTATCCATACATTCTCCTATAGCTTTCAACACATTACTATAGTATATATCCACTACAAAGGATATCATATTCGAATCATCTTTTTGTCAAATCTGTACGACCAGACATAACCGCGAGCGATGGGTGAGAACATCGAAGAAAAAGGGCAGAGAAAGAAGGACAAAGTAGAAAGCGATAAGCCGATCGTAGTCAATAAATAACCAAGCTAGAAATACTGATATAAAGTTGACTTTTAATATTAACAAAATAACGAAGTTTTTTGAAAGACAATAAAGGCGAACAACAGATGACTGATTCAGGAAGGTTAATCCAGTCGGCAACTGTGGATCAAAAGAAAGACGAATGAAAAGAAACTGCTAACACGAGAAGGAGTAGGAACATACTTGGAATGATGACAATAGTGAGGCCGTTTAACCAAATAAAAAATGGAAAGAGGGCTGAGATAGTGATCAATTTAAAAAAAATTGAACAAATCTGAAATATTTACGAGAAAGAAAAAGATTTACAAGAGATAGTTGAACAACAAGAGAAGAATTGTCTCTAATTTCATACTAGAAGTTAGAGACAGTTAAAGATGAATAAAACAAAGTGTCAAGAGTTGATTGTTTAAGGCGAAAGCCCAATTGTTTGATCACAAAAAAGACTGTTAGAAAAGATGAGAAAATAGAAAATTAAATGCTCAAAAAGTTTAGAAATAATAATAATAAGAGAGACAGGACGATAGAAGAGGTAGGAATTTGTCCTTAAAGAGAAGAATAATAAGAGAAAAATGAGAATTGAACAGTGTAGCTTTGTCCTCATTTGTGAAAACCGATGTAGATCTGAAAACTTAGATTACGGCAGAGTGGAATGAGAAGAAGATAGTTTTTTTTATAAAACTCCAAAACTTGAGAGAATCAGAAAATAAAACGAAAAAGAATGAAGATAAGAATATTTTTGGCATGATGATAGAAAGGACAAGATTTCTGGCATTTCTAAGTGTTCCCATAGGTGATTTTTACTTGGGTCAAAAACTAGTAGATAAACAGAAAACAGAAGAACAATCAATTGGAGGAGAAAAAAAAACATTTTTCCCTGAGGAAAGATAGACAATATAGTTAATATGCGTATTAGTAATAATAGTCTTAGGATAGTCAACAATAGAACACAAAAAAGAATTAGAAAGACTGTGAATACATACAATACATTTGAGAGGATATAAGAAGATTGAAGCTAAGATCATCATATAGCACAAGAAGAGACGGAAAAATATTTACGAAGAAAGATTTGTAATACATTAAAAAAAAGAAATCAACAGGAACCGATTGTGAACGATAGCAGCGCCATAAAAGAAAATCAACAGAAAAAGACTGTATATGTGTTAAAAGCACTTCATTAGAAAAAGTGAATATAGAAAACGGTAGTGTGAAAAAGATATACATTATGATACATCCGCCACGTCGATTTCGATTACAACGAGTGAGAGAATAACAAGGAAGAGTCATCTCTGAATCAGTAATTGTTGCGTAAAGATTCGTCTCCTAAAATAATAAAATATGAAAGTCATTAAAATAGAACATGCATCTTCAATGTTAATCCTAACATTTTATTCTCTTTCAATGGTTTCATTATCAATCTTTCTTGTAACAAATTTTTCATCGTCTAAAAACTCGACTCATTTTACAATAATTATAAACGAAAGCATTTTAAGAACAAAGTAAATTTTCGACTTTTAAAAATTATTATGCAAATACTTTCTCCATTTTGGTTCTGGTATTCCTTTATATTTAAAATAAAATCGTAATATCAGAAAGATCTTCATCCTAAAATCCGAGGCATATGGTCAAATAAAGTACTTAGGTTATTTCCATCATTATATTTTTTCTATATTTTTCTGCTTTATCTATCTACATTAACGTCCAATAAGGACATAACTTTAACAGAAGAAAAAAATATACAACAACGAACATAGTTTCTCTCCACTATTCTACAAAACAAAATGAAAATAAAAGTAAAAAATAAAAACGTAGTAAAGAAAAAAGAAACGCTTTTTATCCGACAGATAGTACGAAACAAATACATTTGTATTTCAAACAATTCATTGAAGCTAGCAGCGAAACATTATAATATTATAAAATGTTGAATAACAGAAATGAACTAAGTTATGAAATGAAACACAATCAATGTATGAAAATAATTTTGAATCAACTGATGACTTTAGGGTAGTGTTTAGAAAAACTTTTTATATTAATAGTTTGAAGTTAATAGTGACTGAAAATGTATTACAAATAAAAGTTATGGGAAAATTATCTTATGTCACTATTCTATAGAATGTTTGATTCTGACCATGCAGGCAGGAGTGTAGGGTAGGAACTTGATATAAATGAGATTCTGCTCGATAACAAAAATACGGAAAGCAGAAGAATGACTTATGGCTGTATCGTATTGTTCGGCATTTCTAACCCAAACTCATTCATTTTTCTTCGTACAAATGCATCAAATAGTTTAATGTCTTGATCTTCTTTTTTCTGTTCATAAATATATCGAGATAAATGTAATAATCGACTCATATCAGCGATAAATGTATACGAATTACGATAATATTGTGATTTTAAACGTTCTTGTATCGAATCCAAATCAATTGGATATAGCATTGTATTATCATTAGTTGATGATGAGTGCAATTTTAAACGTTGAACATAAGTAGAATTTGGATGTTGACGTATTTCTTTGTAGACACCATTTAACGTTATATACAACACATCGATTTCCTCATCATTTTGTCCATTAGATAAAACATTCGGTATGATTTGTTTACGATCTTCCATATTTTCACTGCTATCATCATCATCCAGAACAAATTTGGCGCCATACTCTTCACCATATGATTGTAATAATTCTTGCTGTTTGTAAAGTTTTAACGTATGTAAACAATCTTTAATTAACGTGAATGTTTCAGTTAATTTTGTATAACAAATATCATCATATAAATCACATTGCATCAACGTTGCACCATCATAATCTTTGATATAACCCAAATAAACAGTTTCATTTAATGTTATTGTTGATGAAAAACCTTGCTTTTTAAAATAACCAACCTGTCAAAGCAAAACATTATGAAATTATCAAGATTACAGAAGAAATTGTGACAGTTACTTTCTTGTCACAAATATTTAGAAAGAAGCACCCACTAAATTTAGTCATTCTTTTTTAATAAGACTCGATACATGAGAGCAAAGAAAAATTTGAAAATATAAGAACAGCAAACTTACAGCAAATCCGTCAGCATAGGTTAATAAATGTTTAATATTCTTTTTAATATGATAATCTTTTAAATGATTCATCAAATGTGTTCCATAACCTCGAACTTGTTGATATTCACTAACAGCACAAAATACAATTTCAGTAAAATTTCGATGTTGAAACATTCTCTAAATAAAATTGAAATATTTAATTACTCATAAATAAGGTGTGAAATAAATTATTTATAATTTCGGCCATCGTATTTATAAGGTGTCCGAAATTCCAACTTTCGGCAAAAATATTTTGTTTTTCGTTTTTCTATATATGGTTGGATAGAGCACATCATGCTGAGCGAGAAAAAGTAAGTTTTAATTTTTCAAAAAGGTCTTTTTAAGGAAGAAAAATTGAAAAAGTTGAAAGGACTAAAATTTGGAAAAACCATTCAGCGTCAGAAAAATTTCAAAATTTTCTTTTTCGCTCTTCAACCATTTTGAAAGTATTTTTTTCAGATTCAGAATCAAAAGCTGAGTATGAGAATGATGCTTGATTGAGGTTAAAGTCAAAGCTTTGAAGGTCCATCCAGTATGGACGTCTTGGACTCGCCCTGTTCGATCGAGATTTTTACTGAAAAGCCAGACTTGTCTAAAAAATGTGAAACACACATCGGTTAATTCAGTTTTTGATGCTTATTTCAAATATGACGTTGGCTTTGCAAAAAACTAAATAGATAAATGAAAGTTTGACAACGAAAAGTGGAATAAGGACAATAACTGTTACTTTTTTTATTCAGCTCTTTCACCACAATATTAAGGAGCAAAGATCATCCAGCACAATCAAGATTTAAAAAATTTCATCATTTTTGCGAAAGAATGCATCAGTCTATTTAGCTAGTCAGTTAGAAAAGAATGAATCAATATGGATCTATCAATTCTAAATAAACTCTGCTAAATAAAATTGAAGACTTCATACGTTTGACAAGATAAAATACTTACATATGTGATACCACCAATCACCTTTGAAGCAAATATAATCACTAATGATTGATGTCTCGGATCTAATACTGTGCGTGTTATATAGTTTTGTGGCATTTTTGGTAGTGCACGTGAAAATACATTAATCAATTGTAATAAACGTTTATACATGATATCTGTTTCATTTGTTGTTGTTAATGTTTGTAAATTATGTTTAATCAAATGAAATTCAGCGAAACCACGTTGTTCAGCTAATCGAGCAACTTCATCTCTTTTCGGATTTGCTTTATATAATGTTTTTTCTATTTCTGACTGTATGCGCTTTTGATGTTGTTCTTTAACGTTTGACCATATTTTACGAACAAACTCGTTCGAGTAAGGATGATAGGAACCGATTGATGATAATGAACTTGTTAGTAATTGATTATTGATTGTGAGTGAGGATGATGCAGGCGTTCCGAGTCGACGTTTATTCGTTAATGCTTTTGATACACGACGAGTAACTTTTTTTTCAGGTTCATATTTTATTGTTGTTGTCGTTGTTGTAGGAGTAGTGGTCGTCGTCGATACTGATGTTGGTAAAGAAAGAATAGAATGACTAGAATTGCCTGACGATAATGACTGTTGATTCGCTTGTGTAAACGTATAAATTTCCGCTTCAATCGGTATTATTGGACGTTCATAATATTTATTCCAGCAACAGTGCGATGGTGATGTTTCATCAAGTGATTGTTCAAATAGATCAATAAAATTTTGAAAAATGAGACTAGAAAATAATTGACGTTGTTCATTACGTTTAAGAATTTCGAATTTAAACTGTTCGTAAATATATCTCATATAAGTTAATCCAAAAATATTTATACAATCATATTTTATCAATGTTTTATTGCATATTTGTGGTAGGATACAATAACTCGTCCAACGAGCATACCATAATTCATATTCTCGATTATCTAACTGTTTTTTTGTTGATGTTGTCCGAGAGAACGACGAAGATGAAGAACAAGACGGTTGTGATTCATCACCATTCGTCGACAAAGGCTGAAGTTTTTCGTTCTACCAAAAAAAAAGAAACTTTATCATTAAAGAAGGTAATCAGACGGGAGTGTTGTTTCGTTGTACGTCAGAAGAATCATTATGCTTAACTAGTGTAATGTTGAGAACGCAGATGAAATATCTTTGACATACAATGAAATGAAACATTCTCTGTAAATAATGATCAATAGGCAGTAAGATTCATTATTTATCGGTTTTACAAGTTATAACCAATTGAAGTAACAAGTGTCAGTTAAAAACTAAAAGATAAAAATTATTTACCGTTAACATCGTCTCATCATTTTTTTTCATTGTCATCATTATTTTATTATTATTATTATTGTTTGTTGATAGTTGTTCTGTTTTCTGTTTTGATAACATATACGATACAATTGATGGCATTTTCCATGTATTAATTAATTGTAAAAAATGTTTAGCAGCTTCAAATATAATTTGTATTTCATTTTCAACTGCTTTTGTATATTGATATGCAACAAAATTAATAGCCGCCGTTAAAATGGTTGGGTGTTCAAATGGTGGTGAACCAATGAGATTACCGAGACCGATACTAACATTGTAATTAAATGGATCACCGATTGTATTATGCAATATTTGTGCTGTAAATAAAATAATTCGATTTGTTGCAAGATCATGTTCGTTTGATGCACCCATTGTTATCAGCCAGTCAGCATCTAGTAACAATTGTATGCCATGTTCAATCTGTTGTTCACTAGCGTTTAACCAACGATTTGAATGACAATCAAATGAATGTTGACATGCAGCACAATCGAGTTTTTTAGATTGTTCATCAGTTGTTGTTATATCGTCACCATTCAAAAGAGTCGATTGTTCATGTTTCCAACCAGTACAAACGCATAATGGTATTGAACAACGAGAAAACGATGATAATAATTCGACTTTTTTTGATGTTGGCCAACAATGAATAGAATTTAAATTATTTTGAGTCAAAGAAGAACGACTAGCGTCAAATGTTGACGATGATGTTGTAGCGACGGCGGCGATTGGATTGTAATTTTGATTAATTAAAGTTAAACCATTAGTTGTTATTGTTTCCATTATTTAATCAATAAAAATAAAATAACTTTCTTTCGTATTCATTATATAAACAGAAGAGATTTCATCTAAAATCTATCATTATTTGTGAATAATAACTTTGCACTGATCTACAACAAACTTTCAACAATATGCAAATAATCAAAGTGGTTCACAAATCTCGAGCATTTTTTTTTTAAGATACAGTATTGCAAATTATCAAAGGGGTAACGCTGATGTGGGAAGAATAAAAAGTCAAATAAATACGAGTATGATTTCATCAAAGTAAGTGAAAGCGGTAAGATTTTGTCAAATATATTCGACAGATTTGGATACGACAAAATGTTGCTTGATTTTCTTTCTAACTGTGATTAGACGTCTCTACTTTATAGAAATATTTTACAAGCACATTCGCGATATCTATATATAAACATTCAAAAAATTTATTAGCAAATGTACGACGTATAATAAACAAAAGAAAAAATAAACATAAAAGATAGTAAGCAAATGATCATTACCATTTATAGAAACTGTAAAGAGAAAAAAATGCGTAACACATCGCTCAAGAAATAAACACTAACATCGATGTTCTTGTCAGAATGCAAAGTAAACTCGAAGAGAGAAAATATATTTTATTACTATATAAACAATTGAGAAAGAAAAGCAACAGAAAATAAAAACAGACTATTTGATGATTACTTAGATTGTTTTTGGTAATGAAATCATTAGCTTCAAATATCACGGTAATTGGTTTTCAATTCAAAGTGAACTGGTTTAAAAGTTACCAATGTCCTATTTGATAGGTGATCAAAACGTCAATAAACCTCTATGTTTCAGAAAATTACGTAAAGAATCCAAAGTATATAAATATGTTTTTTGCTTATTCAAAGATCACACACAGTCTATATAATATAAACATTACTTCTAAGTTTTTTATCATGCGTAGTTAAATGACTTAAAGTGAGAGAGAAAAAGAAGGGAATGTTCGCACGTTTCTTCTCACTTGGAGAACTAGTTTACCATCAGGGAATATGATAAAAGACTGAAATTTGTTCAGAACACATCTGAATTTTTTTCATTGATCGAAGTTCTCGCATAACTCTAACGATAAATCGTTATTGAAGAACGTACAATACATTACAATAAGTTGTTATCAGGATACTACTTGACAGTGCTTCATCATCAACCTTAATTCTTTTCTATTTCAACTTAATTGGAGAAAAAGAAAGTAGGTCTTTTTCGCTAGAACGAAGTAAATATGACTTCTTTTAGTAGTTTTTGATGATGCACTCTCTTCACCGGCTCGAATCTGTTGTTCGATAACTTCCAGTCTTCATCACTGACGTATCCCGTATTTAATCAAAATAAAGATTCATTATCGCATCAATTTACCCTTATTTAAAATCTTTGCGCAATCGTAAACATACATCCGATTTCTGAATATCTTCTCCATTACGGTCTTTTAAACGATTCTCTCACGATGCACTCATTTATGTTTTGATTATCAATCTACAAGCGCACAGGATAAGTAGCGTGATCAAAGCAGCTTCAAAAATATACGGTATCAGTACAATAAATATATCGATGACACATGTCTGACAGAAAAGGCGCTCGTAAAGAAAAACAGAAGATCGTTTCAGCAACTTCTTCATGACTGCAAACTAATCATGAGACCAACAATAAACTTAAAGACCTCTAATTGACTGAAGTTTTTTGATCACATCTGTTTTCCATGGGTGATCTTCTCAGTTCGATGAGACAGCTTTGCACATTATCCATATTCTTCATCGTTTCTTCTTGCATCTCATCTGTCATCTGATATATAACCCTCAAGCTCATCAGATTTCATATTATATCACATTAGAACTGTTTAGAGTGTATCACATTAGAACTGTTTAGATTGATGAATTAAAACAATCCAAGCTTTACCTAGAAATAAAAGATTGGCTGAACAACAGCAAATAATATCATTATTTCAGAAAGATTATTTCTGATGAAGAAAACTGCGAATTGAATCAATTTCATCACAGAGGTCGATGTTTGCCGTTTTTGAGACCTTCTCAGTATTTTGAGTTTTTATCCGTGAAGAAATAGTTTTTGAAGGTTGAGAAGGTGATATTCGGATGCCGCTTGAAACGACGAATCAGAATATGTATAATAAAGTGAAAAACTAATTTCACTTGAATTTTGAATTAGCTGTATCTTATAATTTAAGGCAAAGAAAAACTGCCGAAAAAAAACGTCTAAGAATCACGAAAGGAAGCACTTTTTTTTCCTTGGCCGTTAGATCAATTAAATACTTAATCTTTTTCCAAACTAAAGTTTGTTACGCAGTTTCGAAGAAATCAATGTTTTCGCTTTGATATTGATGTCCAAGAATTCAATGATGATAATTCGTGTAAATAACCATTTCTCTATTCATTGATACACACTAGTTCATCACAATTATATAACACAGTGGGCAACTTTGGCTAGGCAAACAGGCCTATGCTATAGAAGCAAAGCGAAAGCCTACAAATACCGTTTTAATAAGTTTTTAGATATGCTCTTTCTAATGGTGTGGTTTAAACAGTTCAAAAATGTATTTTCTGGGTTTTCTAAAGACCCGAATCTCCAGAAAACCTACAGAAAATACTTCTGAACTTTGTAAACCGCACCACTGGAAAGAGCATATCTAAAAACCTACGAAAACAGTATCTGTAGCCTTTTGCACGGCTGCCTAGGTCGTTGATTCCGGCGTCAGGATCCTGACGGATCCAACACTAGAACATGCTGGAAGTTGTGGGAATTTGGTAAAATCGGGCAGCAGCCATGCCGGAAATCTGTTGCTCGGAAGCGGTGCCGGAAAAGATCCGACCGGATCATTCGAGTTTGAGACATCGAATTCCCTCGATTTGGCAGAATGTAATCAGTTTTCAGGTGTTTTAAGGCCAAAAATAGCCTTAAATTTTTTCTTTCATGTTCTAGTAGTTCTTCTCTCTGTTCATTCGAGAGAGTGGAAGGGTACGACATGAACAGTGTGAGCGATGACTCACACCGTTAAGAATTTGAGAAGAACAACTTCTCATTTTTCATTTTCTGTAGTGTTGTATTTTAAGTGCTCGTGTCGTGAAATAAAATGGTGAATATATGAAGCGCACAAGAAAGAAAGAAAAAAGAATAAAGTGCACATCACAGGATTCGTCAATTTCCGGTCACCGGAAATTAACGGATCTGACTGGTTCCAGATATTGGATCTCATCTCCGGACCCTCCAGGAACCAAATATCGGAACGCGAAGGAATTGAGCATCAGATCCGATTGGACGCTCGATCTCCAGAAATCACCGTAATTAAGAGGATCCGATCGGGCGAATTCGACCTGGGTGTTAAAACAAATATCAAAATCCTAGTCAGAATTTGACGTGGTAATGCTTCAGGTCTAGGATTCCGTTAGATCGAAAAATTTTGTACAGAAAAACTTACAAACTACACATCATTCGACGCAGTTTTGTGCGCTGATTATGAATATGTTATTATTTTTTAATATCCCTTTTGGAACGAGAAAAGTCGAATTTACCTTAGAAAACCTATAACTCGGTTCAGATACATTTGCACCAATTTGTGCTAACAGTATAGACGGATCGCGAACCCATGGATTGTGAAAGTTTCGTTCAGTTAGGAGCTTGGGAAAAAATGCGAGCCCTACTATACTGAAGTCCGCTCTTCGGAAAACACCTAGTACAGAAAGAAAAATTGTCTTTCCGGTTCCAGCGCGTCTCACAAAAAAATAATATAATGAACAGATAGCTCTAGTCTCAAACTGTGTCGAAGAGTAGTTTAACATGATGTTTCCCTGATCGCACAGTATATAATTTTTCTCTCTTCATCAGTCTGTTTTGCAACAAAAAGTTTCGTGTCGATTTTCTCAGTAACTATAGCACTTGGAAAAAAACTTCCAATACCATTTAAATAGAGCGCAAGCTGAAGTATATGACCTGCTATTTGAATCTTGAAAAGTTCACTTTCGTTTTTTCGCCTATTGTCCGCTTGATTACTCATCGTGTATAGATTATCGACTTGATGTTCTATTCACTTTTTATTGATAAATCGGTGTCACACGGATAGGCTTCTTTCTTTTTATTATTATCATACTTTTCTCTCTAAGTTTGCTCTCTCTTGTAAAGTGGAATAGATCCAGGCATAAAATGATATTTTCGATTTTTCTGTTTTATATAATTACTGTCGCTCTTTTGATGTTATATTAATAATTTATTTTAACTTGATTTGAAACAAAACCGATCGCACTCTGAGAAGAGAAAACTACTCAAAACACGTTGTTTTATCAAAATATGTCAGTATTTTTGTAAGATGCAGCTAATTCAAAATTCAAGTGAAATTAGTTTTTCACTTTATTATATTCTGGATTGTTTGACTCAAAATTCACAAAATTTTCTTCAGCGAGCAAGTGGTCGGCTCCCAAATTTTTGTCACAGGAAAACAACATAGCATTACATATCTTTACATTTAACAGTAGAAACCATGTTACTGACCACTGATTGATCCTATCCAAATCATTGTTCATTATTTTTACAGCCTGGTTCATAACACTAGTCTCAATATATAGCGAGACATCATCTGCGTACATTTTACAAATTGAAGGCAATCCCATTACTCTTCATTTTCATAAGAAGTCCCACGTGGCTTACTTTATCAAAGGCCTTCGAAAAATCTAAAAACACTGTCAGTATCGGTTTATTCTCATTTAAGAGATTCGCAATATAATCAACAACAGTGATAAGCTGATTTACCGACGAGTCATTAGGAAGAAATTTCGACTGATTCTCACATATCAGCTTAATACGTGTCAAAAATCTTTTTTTATCACGTTGAACATGCTCTATGCCTTCACTATCTAATAGGCTGAATCTTTCTTAACTAGAACTAGAACGTTAATCATACTTAGCTCAGTCGTATATGTGTCTAAATCTCAAAAAGTTGCGATCACCGGTAAGAATACTCAATCCTTATTGAGTTTTTAGACATG